GCCCCTCCCACCAGCAGCGCCGTGCTCCCCCCCACCCCCACCGCTCCCGCACCAGGCGCGGCGGAGACTCCCGGACGCCGTCACCCACCCAGGTGCCGCCCCCTCACCCCGGGGCTGTGTCGCCGCAGAACTTCCCCAGCCGCTTGGCGTCGTCGCTCACGGCGCCGTTGAACACGCTGACCGAATCGTAGCGGCAGTAGGAGTCGGGCTCCAGGTCAAACTTCCCGAAGGTCAGTGAGATCACCTGGCGGCGGGGCAGAGGCGGAGGCTGCGCGGTGGGACCCCGGGCAGCCGAGGGAGCGGAGCTCTTGCCGCTCACCTCCTCCGCCCGGCCGCCGCCTCCGGGACCCTAGCCGCGGCCTCCTCGCTCACCTCCCGCGTGCCCTCTAGCCCCCCTCTTAATGCATTCACACCACAGCTCGGAGGAACACACACATCCACGAGGGCCCTGCAGTGGCCTCGGTCGCCCTAGTCCACAAGGTCAAGTCCTGGCGCATTCTCAAGGAACAGACCCAGAATCCACCTCCACCACCACTACACACCCCCCAACACACGCACAAATCAGTTTATATATCAGCATCGGGTACCTCGCTCTCGTAAGGTTCGTCACAGTCGTAATTGGACATTTTTTGTTTGGGTGCAAGCAGGTCTGGGTCTGTTTTTGCTGCCCACCATGCAAGCTCAGTGCTCGGGACATTGTAGATGTTCAATAAATCTTTGCAGGCTGCATACTGGAGGACGCCGCCTGGGTCCCCGAGGGCAGCCCGGGCAGGGGGTCAGTACCTGGTCCGGGGGCGCGATGATGTGCCAGGAACAGCTGATGCCCGGGGGGTAATCGGACTCGGGCCAGTTGGGCGTGGTCAGGGTTCCCTGGGCCTTCTCCAGCCGCCCCCCGCAAAATTGGTGCTCTGGGGAGGGGAGAGAGGAGTGGGGGTGGGGGGCGGTGGAGACCCTCGGTCAGCTGGGGGAGAACTCTAGGCTGGGAGCCCGTGCAGAAAGCTCAGATGTCTGGGTCTCGGGATGATGGGGCGAGAAGAGAGGGAGGAAGAAGGGGAGTAGGTTAGCAGAGATGGGGCTCGGAGGAGCGGGGCTCCGGGAGGTCTTGGACCGCGGGGGGGGGGGAAGGCTTGGACCGCCGGGCACCCAGGCGGGCGGTGGTAGGGGGAGGAGGAATTGACTGGACACGCTCCCTTCTTGCCCCTCCCCCTGACCCGAGGCCACATCGCGAGGCCACATCGCTCCTCTTCCCCTGGAAGATCCCATCTCCCCGGCCCGGCAGAAAAGTCCCCGTCGCAGCTGGAGAGTCCCCATGTTGTGAGGGTGCCCTCAAATTGGGGCACAGCCCCGAGGCTCCTTTGGGGAGGTCCCTCCTTAAACATTTTAGGGGAGACTTCTGCCGCCAGGAGGAGGTGATGGGACCGCAATCGGGAGCCCCCGGGCTGGGTGTAGGGGGCTCCGGGTCGGGGGAACCTAGTCCCCCAGCCCGGGGGTGCCCCCTCGCGCCCGTCTGAGGGAGCCCGATTGCGGACGGGGGCGGGCAGTTACTCACCGTCCCAGTAACCCCAGGCCGCCCATTCCACCCGCGGGTCGGTGACCCATTTCCGCCTCGCGCCTGGGCGGGGGCCTGGAAGAGGGGGGGGTGGGAGCGGGAAGGAGGGGAGAGAAGACGGGGAGGAGGGACTGAAGGGGCGGTTAGTGAGGAAAAAGGGTAAGGGAGATAATGGGGGTCCCAGGCTCTTGGGGTGGAGGTTAAGGCTGGGGTGGGGCCTGCGCCGGGGGCGGGGCCAGGAGAGGGGGACGGCGGAGGTGAGGGAGGTCTCACCAGTGCCTGAGGTGGCCCGCGCGCTGTACCAGAGCAGGAAGCCTCGTCCTCCCGTGCCCTCGTCCGATGTCATCCTCAGGGTCACCTGGTTGCCGGGGGCGACTAAGGGCGCTGGCCGGAAGGTCCCGCAGAAGCGTCCGAGCCGCTGACCTGAGGTTCCAGGCCCGGCAAAGACCTCGAGAGCGTCATAACGGCAGGATGGGTGCAGCTCCAGGTCAAAGACTCGGAAGGAGAGGGACACAGTCTGGCCCTCAGGGACCTGATGGTGGGGACAGGGTCGGGGACCTGCAAAGTCAGGCCGGACACAACCAGGCAGAGGGGACTCTTTTTCCCCAAGCATTTCCTACAGAAACTGGGCCTGAAGCAGAGGGGACCCCATCAGGATGCAGAGCAGAGGGCTTGTGGCTTGTGCAGGGGACAAGACCTGAGGTCTGTGGAGAGACCAGAGGGGATGGGGATGAAGGTGGGAATGGAGAAGCAGGCTCTGAGTTAAGGTGTGAGGATGCTTGCCACGTGTTACTGTGGGCACTGGTGCTGTCAGTGACCAGAGGGGAGGGGGCTGGGACTTCCCTAGGGAGAAGCGGCAGTGCTTGCCAGGAGGGGGTACCCTTAGCAGTCTGGCCTCTGGCTGCCTGGACCCAGGCCTCGGGGAGACTTGGACAAGGGGATGGCGGCCAGAGGGGCCTTCTCACCGTTATCGTCCAGACGCACTCCTTATTGGCGGGGTAGAGGTTAGGGAAACCCTCGCTTGCCAGGTAACCCGACTCCCCAGTCACATCCCCTCCACACAGGAACACAGGTCTGCAGAACAGAAGAGAGGCCAGGCCTGAGTGGGGGAGTAGTGCAGGGACTGGGGTAGGGCAATGAGCATGGGGCCGCCAAGAAGGGCAGCCAGGGGGATGAGGGAGGGAGGCCCAAAGGATTCGAGGCGGCCTCAGCCAGCGGGGATGGGACTGGGGTGGGAAATACTCCAGCAGGGAATCAGGAAAAAGTGGGACCAGCAACTTGGCTGTCCCTCCAGCTCCTCAGAGTTCCCACCCCCACCCCAGCAGCAATTCCTGGAATCCTCCTCGGCCCCCCTCCATCATTCTCCCCCCTCGCCCTGCCTGGCAGTCAGGGCCTGGAGCGGCCTAAGTACTTCCAGATGTGGACACAGCCTCGAGGTGGGGGGGGGTGAGGGGGCGGGGAGATGAGGCAGAAGTAGCAGCCAGGGCCTTGCGCTCCCAACCTTTGCCCTGCTCCAGCTCCAGCTAACTACTGCGGTGACTGACTCCCACGTCTCCCACTTGCAGCCCCCTCTTCCCCCCACAGTCTCTAATTCCCTCCTGGAATCCAGATGTACAGCTACCAGGCAAGTTCAAGGTCTTGGTGCTCTCAGGTTCCATGGGGGGGGCCAAAGGTCTGGATAGGTGGGGAGACTTAGAGGGCAGAGGACGGAGGGTGGAGGAGTGGGGAGCAGTGGTGACCGCAGGAGACAGTGGTCTTGCAGCAGGGAAGGAGGACTTGGGGGCCAGAGAAGGGTGAGGGCTGTGGGAGAGCTGCGCGGGTGGCGTGTTAGCAAAAGAATCTACAAGATCCACAGGCATAGCCCCCCCCAGGAATCAGGGATCTGAAGTTCACTCAAGCCATCTGGAAGGTGCCGAGAGACCTACCTGGTGTAGTTGGGGCTCTGACCCTGGGTGAAAGGCAGCAGCAGAGCCCAGGCAGTGAGGAGGGGCCCCAAGAGGGAGGCTGTGGTAGCAGGCAGCATGGCCCGAGGGAGAGGCACTGGGGTCCTCAAGACAGAGGCAGCCGCTGAGTGTAGCAGCAGCAGCAGCTGCGGCAGCAGCAGCGGGGATAATCAGTGCCAGATGAGGCAGCCTTGGGCGTGTGGGCGTGGGGACTGGCCAGTGGGGCGGGCGGCGGGGAAGGCGGGACAGGGAGAGAAGAGCCGGGACAGTGGCGATTCCAGGGGCCTCTCTAGGTCCAGGACACATAAATACTGACCCAGTGTGGGAGCGGGGGTGGAGCAATGAAGGGCAGAGGGAGCATCACGCTCTCAGCATAATCCAGGCAGTCCAGTAATGTCATCTGCAAGCCCACTCTGTCCAGTGCCCGAGCATCCTTCCAACACAGCCTCGGGTCCTTCCTGAGGACTCTCCAGCCCACCTGTGATCCTCCCCATTCCTGC